CCTTATTACCTTGCTACCATCCAGTCACCGATCTCATTATAAGACACTACCATGTTCTTGAAGGTAATTTGGGTTATTCACAAGTATTTTGCATTCTAAGGTAGAACCTAAGGAACCAGTGAATATAAGGAAGGCATTTGTGGTGAAGTCTCAAGACATAACGAGAAAGGATGAGTGTATTGTTTACCATAACATGCATCAATTGAGTGATTGTAATCGCTTTATCGCTATGTCACCCGTAGAAAGGTTAAAAATGGCAAAGCAGAAGCGGCTGTGTTTCAGTTGTTTAAAGATTGGGCATACAAAGTGGAATTGTAAGGCGAAAAATAAAAGAAGTAGTGGTTTAACGGATATGCACCCACTTCTGAGAACAGTGAACGAACCTGGGAGTTCGGTTAATTGTAAAAGTATCTCTAGACCCCTTGACATCCCACAAGTTTTCTTAGGGGTATTACCAGTTAAGGTGAAAGGACCGAAATCTTCAGTAGAGACTTATGCATTGTTGGATAATGGTTCAGATGTTACATTGATAGATGCTGAACTGGCTGGTTGCTTGGGTATTAAAGGCCCCAAGCAACCCTTGGTTGTAAATACTTTCAATTCTGCGAAAACAGTAGTATGTGAGCGAGTGTCATTTCGGTTAGAATCCTTGGCTACTGGGGAGACCGTGGAAGTGGATACTGCTTACACTACCTCCAGTATGAAACTTGGCGAAGCTATAGTACCTAGTCGTGAAACGGTTGTCGGTAAGCCATACCTGTGTGACATACCTCTTCCAACACTGCAAGATGGAAGAGTGAGAGTACTCATTGGATGTAGTGTGCCAGAAGCTCACAAGGTATTAGAAGAGAGATTTTGAGGTAGAGATGATCTGTTTGCGACAAAAACACCACTGGGATGGACAGTGAGAGGACCTATACCCATGGTCCACTTATAATCATTGGTTGCAAACAATGGGGACAAACTGGAGACAATGATTAGAAATATGTATGACAAGGAGTTTTGTGACTACGGTGTCCCATAGAAGGGTCGTTCTGTAGAAGACTTGAAGGCAGTTAAAATAGTTGAGGAGTCCTGTAAGTACGAAAATGGGCATTCCAGCGTTGGCCTACCATGGAGATTTAAAGTTAGACAGTTGGTTTGTAATGGAGAAGTTGCTCTTAAGGGACTAATGGGTTTAAAGAAGAAGTTTGTAACGGATGCAGGTCTCTAGACCAAATATAAAGATGTCGTCGGCAAACATGTAATGAAGGGTTACGTTGAAAGACTAGTTGATCAGAGCGAGCCAGGGAAGTGGTATTTGCCCCATCATCTCGTCTTTAGCCCGAGGAAGCCAGGTAAGCTCCGTGTGGTGTTCGATTGTTCCGCGAAACATGAAGGAGTCTCTTTGAATGATAATCTATATAGTGGTCCAGATTGCATGAGCTCATTAGTTTGACTGCTTTCAATATTCAGAAAGTTTACAGTTGCTGTTGCTGCGGATACAGAGGAAATGTTCTTACAAGTGAAGGTGCCAGAGACCGACGGAGATCACTTAAGGTTCTTGTGGTTTGATGATGGTCCTTGTGGTAAGGTGTCAGATTGTCAGTTGTCTGCCCCTCACAGAATAGTGCATTAGATCATTTGGGGACATAATTATACTGTATGGCATTTCAATGAAGGACAGGCTGCCTAATCTTTTTCATTATGCACTACCCACTCTGCATCGGTGGCACAATGGTTAGGACTCTCGCCGACCATGCACATGGTCCGGGGTTCGAGCCCACGCCGACGCACACTTGATATCTATGGCCGGTTTGCGAATTTTGGGCTACCTATATCCACGCTGAAAATTCCACACTTGTACCAAAAATACGGTGTCGAATCAAGCTGTAATCAAAAATAAATAAAAAAATAAATAAACAACCCAAAGAGTACAGGAGGTGAGTGAAAATACCCTGTAAAACTTCTTTGTCAGACAGTACAAGCAAATGGTTTTAGAAGCAACTGTCATGAAGAGTCAAGGTTTGTGCCATTATTTAGAACTTTCAACTCAAGAAATAGAGAAATATGTGTTTACTATGAGAATATTCATGTTTATTATATACTTTTTTGAGCTCGGATGTGAATGGTCATTCCAAAATAATTTTGCTTATTATCATTAAAAAGCATATTTTTTCTACGCGCCTTTCCTGGCAAACCCCAAAAACTTGCGGTGAATCATGTCAGAAAGAAAACCAACTAACCAGGGAGCATGCGCCTCAGTAGGCCCAAACGGTCAATATCTCACTAGTCTTGCGTTGTCTGAAACATTCAGTTTAGCCTTCGCCAAACAGCTAAACAGCAATGTGGGTGTTACCGTTCCAGAACAAAATGGTGGCACTACTATTTCACAGGGGGAAGACCTAATGGCTACTCCCCAAATAAACCCCGCAATAGTACTCAGGAAGGACAGACACTCACACCTGGGAAGTCCCCAGGTTGTGACGACATCGGGCCATCTGTTCTGAAACAGTGCGCCAAAGCTCTCTGTAGGCCCTTATGCGACTTGTTCCAACACCCAATGGATGCGGGGAAACTGCCAAGGGAGTGGAAAAGAGCCATCCTTTCTCCGATCTTCAAGAGTGGGGACAGGCAAAATGCCACAGTAGCTCTGCTCCCAGTGTTATCAAAAGTGCTGGAAAGTATTATTGACGATCACATCAGGGAATACCTCGATAGGTCTAATATACTCCATGAAGCCTGACACGGTTTCAGGAAAGGCAGAGCCTGCGTTACCAACCTACTCTCAGCTTGGGACGACTGGACATCATGCTAAGATATGAATACACCAGTCCATGTGGTCTTCCTAGACTTTGAGAAGGCATTTGACACTGTTCGACATGACCTTCTCCTGTGTAAAATAAGCCAGGCAGGTATAGGTAAGCCACTTCTGTCATGGTTAAAGTACTACCTGGCTGAAAGGTAATTGTGCACTAAGGTCAATCTTGTACGATCACCTTGGTACAGCTCGTCATCAGGAGTGTTGCAGGGTCCCATCCTAGGCCCACTGATGTTTTTGATTTTTACCATTGATCTATCATCCCGTCTAAGCCGCCCGAATGTTCTATACGCTGACGACGTAAAGATATAGAGGGCGATAAAGTGTTCGGAAGACTCAGATAGGCGACAGACAGACCTGAAACTTCTGGAAGACTGGGCGGTGGGCAGTGGTACGGCTTTCAGTCCGAAAAAGTAGTGAAATTACGCACATGTAGGCTGCAGAATGCAAGCTTCACCTTGTGCAACAAAAGCTCGTCCTGCACAACGTCCGAGCTTGACTTAGGTCTAGGTCTAACGGGGAATATGGACACAAGCGTAAATTAAACGGGGGATGTCGCGAGGGCAAATGCGGTTATGTGCTTTACACATAGACAGTTAAGTGCACTCACTCCTGAGCTCTTTCTAAGGTTGTACAAAACATACGTCAGACCACACCCTGAAATGCATGATATTATTGTACCCCCACCGCTTAGAAGAGACGCCAACCTCTTGGAAAGAGTCCAACGATGGGCAACAAAAGGAGTGGTTGTTCTCCGAAATAAACTATATGATGTAAGGCTGAAGAAATTAGGCCCGTTCAAACTTAGCTACCGTCGTCTTACGGGGGATTTAATTACTGCCTACAAAATAACAAATGACCAGAATCACCCAAATAAAGGTGTTCTGCAATTGAGTAGGTATAGGCTTCCTCGTGGAAATTCCAGAAGGATAGCTCATCAGATGGCATGGATTCTGGCGCGCTCCAACTTCTTTTCACTGCGGGTTTGCCGTCCCTGGAATTCCTTACCGACAGATGTAGATATGGCACCGTCTGTGGACGCCTTTAAGCGGAGGCTGGACAGTCATGCAGAGGCACAAGGACTGCATCCAACTGGCCTATCCCCTTAACATCGCATACACCATCCAGGAGTAGACAATTAAACTTCACTAATTATATCAATTATTATTATCTTTTCTTTTGACGACGATACCGGAGGACTAACTGGTAAAAGGGTCAACTCCACTAACAGCAATAACAAAGTCCCAACACACCACATACTACAAACAACATGTAATTAATCCCAGCCCTGCTCCTTTTGGAGTCAACCAGAGCTACGACAGTCAAGTGGCGGGACGAGCTACGCAGAAGTTTACCGAAGATCAGGAGCCTATACTTCACAATCAAGAGGCGAGCACAAAGAAATCAAGTTGATTTATACTGGCTCGTAAAAACGATATTGGATAACATAATCTTGTGGTGAAATTTAATTTTTCACATTTCAATGTTGTTATTGAATATTGAATGACCTAAGAATCATTATTCTTTAAGCACATCAGTCGTTATCGTTAAGTGGTTAGTGGCGTGTTTTCTTCCGTGGAATTCTCTCCGAAGGTAACTAAATTTTTGGCAGCTATTCATTTATTTGCTGGTGATAACCCATGTGGTACAGATGATTAAATTCCGTCAGGAGATTTTAGATTACACAGTCTTATCTTGTTTTGATATATTTCTAAAAGAATACCCACGTGGTCGTCTACCCTTATCAGAAATGCGCTGAATTTCAAGACGGTTGTTTCTAAAGAGTCTTCATTAGGAAATACAGTGAAAAAACTTTGATTGAGTAAGAACTTGTTACAGTCATGGCTCTGTAGTGCACATTGTACCTTTGAACTTTTGTTTAAACTGACTCACCCACGGTGATCCACGTTTTACCTTTTGTAAGGCATGGTAAGTTTGGCGGTTTTCTAATGTTCAAACCATGCTTGTCTACTTTCAGGTTGGCTGCGAAGTATGCAGGGATTGGTTACCCAAGACGAGGCAACGGATGACCAATAGGAGTGCCCTTCCCTCTTATCTACTTGTATTGCGATTGGTTGTAAATATAATACTTGACCTTGAGTCCTCGTTCTTACTAGCACGCAACACTTGTGTGATCACACTGCTAACGTGCGCTTTGCTCTCTGTTTCAGATCATTGCTTGACGAGTGGGATTACATAAATGGCGAGCCTGCCAACGAAAAAACTTTCTTCTTCTAAGTCTCGACCCAATGAGGCTTCCAAGAACACTTCTCCTGTCAAACAGACAGCATCTCACGAGGTGGATCAATTGGCTGAAGTGAGGGCTCCAGCTTTTCAGTCAAATCAGCCTGCTTCGCGATATGTCCATCCCTTGCCGCATACACTGGAGGTGGGTGATGATTCCGAGCTGTGGTCGGACAAGGTGTGCCGATACATTGATCTGATGAACGTGCCTCACCCGAACGCATTCGTCATCGATTCTGTTGGACGGTCCTTGGAAATGTACACAATTGGTCTGGATTACGTGCATATGCCCTTGACCACCCTGTTGAGTACTCTAAGAGCACGTATAGTGCCACCAATACCTCCCATTGAAGCGCTGAAAAGATTCAGCGAGTGCAACCAGAGACAAGGTGAATCTATCAACCAGTTCACCTTACGTCTCCGCAAGCTTGCGCGTCAAGCTATGCAGGACAAGACACATTCAGAGGTTGAAAGCGCTATATATTCCAAGTTCTTGCAGGGCGTCGACGTCCGTTACAGGAAGGACTTCAACTTGCACACTCCAGCATCCATGACAGAAGCGGAAGCTAGGGCACGCCTAATGGAAAGCCTGGAAGAGCCAGGAACCATATGCCCACAAGTAAACGCAATGGGATATCAGCACACAACAACAAAGCATGCACTATGAATTGTGTGCCTACTGTAAACCTAATCGGTGTCACCTCCTCCCCGAATACAAGGGGCTCGTTTCGCATTTGTTAGTTTACGCCGACTCTGGCGTAGACGAGATGTTCGACTATCGACCAAAGGGCGGGTGTACTGCTCATCAGTCCGCTCCGTCCTCCTTTATGGTTGTGAGACCTGGCCACTCAGAGTGGAAGACATGAAAAGACTAGCTGTCTTTGATCATAGGTGCCTGCGTTCTATATCCCGTGTAAAGTGGCATAATAAGGTGAGCAACATGGAGGTTAGGCGTAGAGTCCTAGGTAAACAGGGGAAATCAATCGACGAAGTCGTGAAGCTACATCGACTGAGATGGTTAGGACATGTGTTACGTATGCCAAGCCATCGCCTCCCTCGACGAGCAATGTTAGCGGATATAGGGTCAGGCTGGAAAAAAGCTAGCGGCGGTCAAACAAAAACTTGGCATCAGTCAATGAAATCCACAACAGTTGGTCTTAGCCACGTAGGAAGGTGTAGACTTCCAGGCTGGGGTCCTCGGGACGGCAAAAATCTATGGTTGGAAACAATTGGTGACATGACTCAAAATCGTTCTCAGTGGCGCAGATGCATCCACTCCCTGTGACTTATGATCTCCAATGAAACTGTTTTGTATTTCTTTATTACTCCTTTGTCTCACACCTCTGCTCACTGTTTCTATTTGCTTTTCTTGTACTTTCTTCTCTTGCTTCGCGTGCTACACGGAATGTGGCGACTTGAACTTCCGCACATTTGTGCAAAGTTCTATGTCGAAAACAGACAGACAGACAGACCTCCTCCCCGAAAGTTGTAGGTTATATAGGCGGGAAAAAGTGTGTTATGTTAGTTGACTCAGGAGCAACTTGTTCTGTCGTACATTCCTCATGTGTTCCAGAGACGTTTAGGCCAACAATAGGGACTCACAATTTGCGGCTTACGACAGCCAATGGAGATTGCATGCAATCCCAGGGACTGGTCCTGCTGCCACTTAAATTGGGAACACTGTCACTTCAACACAATTTCATCATCTCTACCCGGGTGCCGTGGCAGGTAATCTTGGGAGTCGACCTCCTGGAAAAGCTGTCCGGAATAATAGATTGTAGTCATAGGACTCTTATACTGAAGGACTGTTCCATCCCATTTATTGTAGGGAACGACAAAGAGCACGGCACTTTTGGCGTGCAGGGAGATGCTAAGAGTGAGAAACAGCGAATGCTGACGACTATAGAACCCCTACCATCGGAAACGGCTGCCAACTTTAATAAAATGTTAGACAAATATGAGGACTGTTTTGACTGGGATGGAAAAAGCCCGGGAAGAACAAAACTGGTCCAACATCACATAGAAACGGGTAACGCCCCACCTTGTAGACAACCTGCACGGCGAGTACCTGCACATTACCAGAAGGAGCTTAACAGGTTAGTTGATGAACTGTTAGAGAAAAATGTCATCAAACCATCCGTATCTCCATGGGCTTCACCGGTAGTTTTAGTTAAGAAATCGAATGGGACACTCCGGTTGTGTGTAGATTATCGTAAGTTAAACCTGTTAACTAGACGAGACTGCTTTCCCCTTCCACGCATAGACGACACTTTTGATGCCTTAGAGGGGTCGAATTGGTTTACCACTCTAGATCTGGCATCGGGATATTGGCAGGTTGAAGTACACCCAGATGACAGGCAAAAGACAGCATTCATTGTACAAGCAGGCCTGTATGAGTTTGAAACAATGCCGTTTGGGTTAGTCAATGCCCCAGCAACATTCCAACGCCTCATGCAAACGGTCTTGAGTGATTGCATACCAGGTAAGTGTTTGGTATATTTAGATGATGTTATCATACATAGTAAGACGTTGACCGAACATTTAAGTGATATTTCCGAAGTATTAGAACGGATGCAGACCGTTGGGTTAAAACTGAACCCATCGAAATGTCAATTCTTCAGGAAAGAAGTGTGTTTCTTAGGTCACATTGTTTCAGCCGAAGGCATTAAATGTGATCCAGCAAAAGTTCAGGAAGTTAAAGACTGGCCGCTCCCAAACTCAGCCCCCGAGTTACATAGTTTTTTAGGGTTAGCCTCGTATTATCGACGTTTTGTACTTAACTTCTCTTTCCTTGCAGCTCCTCTATTCGACATTCTTAAGAAGAAAGACTACAATTGGACAGCATCAGCGACGGAAGCCTTCGAAAGACTAAAAAACTGTTTATGTAGCCCCCCTATCCTAGCGTATCCCAATGTTTCTGACCAGGCAGGTCCATTCATCCTAGATACAGATGCTAGCGACTCTGGTATCGGGGCAGTTTTGTCTCAAAAAGACGCAGATGGAGTAGAAAAGGTGATAGCCTATGCAAGTCGAGCACTCAACAAGAGTGAGAAGAATTACTGCACCACGCGGAAAGAAATGCTGGCACTGGTCAATTTTGTTAAACACTTTAGGGCATATCTCCTCGGTAGACATTTCATTGTACGCACTGATCACAAAGCCCTTAGCTGGCTACATAACTTCAAAGAAGCTGAGGGTCAGATTGCCAGATGGCAAGAACACCTACAAGAGTATGACTTCGAATGCATGCATAGACCGGGTAAGAATCATGGAAATGCAGATGCATTGTCAAGAAAACCTCTTAGGTATCACGGTGACTGCCCATCATGCACCGAAGCACAAGTTTCGCTGCTCCAACTAGAGGCTCATACTTCATATAGTTGGCCTGAACTTCAGTCTTCAGACCCTGAACTGGCCTTGATTTACGAACGTGTTCGAAATGGAGGCGAACGACCGACAACCCAGGAAATAAGTAAGCTTGGATGGGAAACCCGGTGTTTATGGTCTCTGTGGGATAATCTGAAAATTGTCGATGACATCCTCTACTACCAACATGGACCCACTTATACTCGTCGCGTTGTGGCTCCACAGTCGGCACTACCCACAGTACTATTGTCATTACACCAGCAGTTAGGCCACGCGGGCTCAGGGAAAATGATTGAAGCGGCTAAAAGACGTTATTGGTGGCCTCACCAGAGGAAAGACATCATAGATTTCTGTGACTCCTGCGAGGTATGCCAAACTATTAAGGCTCCGCACAAATATAATAAGGCACCCTTAGAACCCATTATAGCTGGCCATCCGAATGACTTAGTACAAATAGACTTGGTTGGACCTCTCCCAGTAACTTCCAGAAATAATAACTATATTTTAGTCATGGTAGACCATTTTACCAAATGGTGCGAGGCTATTGCGATCCCACAGATTGATGCTGTAACCATCGCAGAGTCAATTTTTGACCACTGGGTCAGCCGTTGGGGGGCACCACTTCAACTGCATTCAGATCGAGGATCCAACTTTGAAAGTATCGTTGTCAGCGAACTCTGTCGTATAATGGGTATCCGGAAGACACGCACTACCGCGTACCACCCACAGGGAAATGGCTTGGTTGAACGCACCAATCGGACACTTAAAGCCCTCTTGCAGGCATTTGTAGATCAAAACAACCCCAGGGAATGGGACCGATCACTCTCACAGTGCTTAATGGCATACAGAGCAAGCATTCACAAAGCTACGCGTCAAACGCCTCATTATATGGTCACTGGAAGAGAACTCCGGTTGCCAATCGATCTGACTTCAAACACACTAGGAGAGGATACACTGATTGCATCCGAACACGTAATCAGACTTCGACGAAACCTGAACAAGGTACATCAGATGACTAGGGATATACTCCAAACAAACCAGAGGTACCAGAAAGAATACTATGATAGGAAAGCACATGGATCACCAGTGGAGCCAGGAGACAAGGTGATGCTACTTAAGGAGGCACCACCTAAAGGGAAAGCTCTTAAATTCCATAAACGCTGGGAAGGACCATTCACTGTAGTAGAGGTACTAAGTGACTGCACCTGTAGGATTCAGGAACCGAATTCCTCTCATAGTCTAGTCACACACTTCAATAGACTAAAACCTTTTCGACAACAGGCCTTAGAGCAGACAAGTCCCGCAGGAACAGTCACCTAGCACTGCGGACAGTGCTCCTATGGGAGAGGGGGTAGTGTAAGGCATGGTAAGTTTGGCGGTTTTCTAATGTTCAAACCATGCTTGTCTACTTTCAGGTTGGCTGCGAAGTATGCAGGGATTGGTTACCCAAGACGAGGCAACGGATGACCAATAGGAGTGCCCTTCCCTCTTATCTAATTGTATTGCGATTGGTTGTAAATATAATACTTGACCTTGAGTCCTCGTTCTTACTAGCACGCAACACTTGTGTGATCACACTGCTAACGTGCGCTTTGCTCTCTGTTTCAGATCATTGCTTGACGAGTGGGATTACACTTTTGACTTGTGAGTCTTCCGTACGTTCATTGGTTCGCTCTCTTGTTGTGCTCTCTTTCTGCACACTCTCCGAGCCTACCTCCAGCAACGTCTGCAGATAAGTTGTACGACTTCTTTATTTATTGAATTTTATATTTCGTTGAATAAAATATAATTCTCCCAGGTACTCTTGTCACATCAAGTCTTTTTACAACGATGCAGTTCGTCAGTATTTGCGCGTCGAGTAGTGTACTGCTAAGCTTAGCAGGTCGCAAAACGGTGAAGAAGTTTGTAAGGGTGTTTAGAGTATAGGTCCACTCTAAGCCGTAGTAGAACTCTTACAGGTGAAGCCAAAAATTTAATTTTTCTCCGGCACACAAAAGCATCAGCAAACCTGTTGCTCATATTTTCCGTACATGATAAAATCTGTTTATAATAGTGATAAAAACGCATATGACATGTAGTTACGAGTCTTTACTGAGATAGCACTATGTAGTCTGAATATTTATGCTCTCATTATTTTTGACTCCGAACGTTAGTCTCTTAATCTGCATGCTCGTAAGTCCAGATGAAAGGTAGGGAGACAAACATGACATTACTTTGGATTTCTTTGGTAACTGGATCTGTGACTATACATCTGTAGTTAAGTTGGATAATTTCCCACTGGTTCATCTCGTTTTTCTTATGGTTTGGATTTCATCAGAAGCACAAATAATACAAAACTATAAGCATAGGTCCGTGTATAGAATTGTACAGTATTTGCATATGTCTATAATTGTCTTCTAATTCACTCTAATTTCAAATGACGCATCTTTATTTTAGAAATATTTAAAAATCTGGGATCACTCTGTAGAACGGATTTCCGAGAAATGATCGCAGCTGATATAAATATTTTGCAATCAAAGTTTACCACCCTCTTCAAAACCTCTAGAAATCGAGTGCATTTAGCATTTTTGCAACAGTTTAGCAATGCCGTAAGTTTCCTTAACTTTCAACATTTCTTTCATTTTTGAGTCAAAATAAATTTTACAAGCAGATGTTCTTTATATGTTTCGAAATCTTACCTGTATTATTTTCGGTCAAAGTGATTATTTTAAAAAAGGATATTGAACTGTAAAATGTTTGAGTAAACCCTAGCAAAACAACTCGATTTTGCATAGTCGTTCTGATTTTCAATTACATTTAATTACACTGGTGGAGAAGTAGATTCTTAAAGCCCTGGTATTGCGCTAAAATCAAAGGAATAATAGTTAACCTCAAGGCAATTACTATCACTTTTTAAGTATCTCTGCTGATGTCTTACGACAAAATCAAGTTAAAGGAGGGGATGTGGCAGCAGTTTATACTCTTCTTTTAGATGATCAGCTGCTTTATTCCCACTGTTCATGAAGTGTTAGAATGAATCGATTAAAGAGGTAACATTTCTCAATTTGCTCCAAATAAGTTATCCGCCTGTTATAAGGTACTTTTTCCTTTTATGACTACCAATGCTGTCACATTTGTTTCACATATCAAGTAGACATAGAAGTAGCAAGTGTCCTCAGGTATCCATATGCTTATTGCATACCTGCCAAACTCTTTTACAGTTTCATTCTTCATCACGTTTTTCACTGCTAATACGTTTTCCTATGCAGTTGCTTAATTGTTTTGAAACTCTTATATCCTTACCAACAATCACATTAAACTAAGCACTGTTTATACTGTCTTAAAGCCAAATCACCAACTGCACACCGGTGATTTGAACATTCAACCGCTGTGCTTGCTCGGATAAAGAGTTCTGTAAACCTGAAATCCAGCATTTCGTGATATAGATGTTTCTTACAAGCTTAGTGAAGCTTGTGTGTGTTGTGTGTCTTACACTTACAACGGTCTCAATTATGCATGACTCATCTTTACAAGATCTGACTATTTATCATTTATTTGTCTATTAATGAAAATATATTTTAGATGTGATAGTAAAGTAATGGTGGCTGACTAATCCCTGGTAACAATTTTCACGCAGTTATGTGATGAATGTTCACTCTACTCTTGCTTTTGTTTTTTTGTTTTTGTTAAGTATGATTTTGACTGAAATTACACTTGTCTTTTTGATTAGGTGAAGATATGTTTGAGTGCATTATCGATTAATTGTTTGTTTGGTGATGACCTGTTGGTAGTTTATTATTTTCAGTCGGTAGAGTATGAAGAGTTAAACAGTTCCGTATTACGTAATATATTGGGCTGACCTGAAAATAGGATCAGTCTGTCTGATTGACATGGATGATTACGTAATGACTAAGTAACCTGAATTTATTGAACTGGTAGCTTATCGTAAATTCATGCATTTTTTTGTAGTGTGTAGCGAAATGTTAGGCATCGGTGGTTTTATTCGTGACTTGACCTTTGTCCTATAATGCACACATTTATTTTAGAAGTAATGGTAATATTGACTGACTGACTGACTCACCCCTGATTACAGCTCAAAAGGAAAAAAATGACTATGTGATGAGTATTCACTTTGTCTTTGTTTTTGACATGATTTTGCATGACATGAAGTGAAGATATGGCCGAGTATAATTCTGACTGAGCGAAGATATATTAGGAGTCTATTAGGATTAGTGTGTAGGACAAAAAGTTTTGATCCGAAATACTACTGATAATGTCATATGAGTAGTTAAAGGGCGATTGCTTCAGAAAACGATGCTTTCTGCCTACATCGAATTGATCTCAACACAGGGTGTTGGTTTCGCTCGCTTTGGTCCAGTTCATTCATTCAGAGAGCTGAATCACACCAAACGATCCTAATTTTGGCTAGCTACTCGAGTTAATTGAGAATACAAAGAATGTAGATGTTTCTTACATTCTTGAGGTGTACTTGTGGCTTACAGATTTGAACTCTTTATTTTCGGCCACTGGAACTCTCCACAACTCTTACGGAGGCTTTTGCAGCGAAGTGGTATAATTAATGTCCCCAATAAACATTACTCAAAGCAGGCTGCGTCTAAATGCAATGAGTCTTCCTTAGATCTTAGGCGCAGATACAAGGCCTAGTTATGTTTATTTACTTAACCCAGCCTAATTAAGCTTCTACACTTACTGAATACTAGAGTAAAGCCGTACATACAAGTGACGCACTTCTCATTTCAATCGTACTTTTGCATATATATATACTTATTTTGGCTGGTAAAACGTTTATTTAATCGAGGAAGTTATTGTTAGAGTCCCTGTGTATTTTTACTCTGTAGGAATTTTGTATTTTCATTATGAATGTACTCTATTGTTTCAGGTTAATTCATTCCAACATGAATACCAGTCAGTATTAAAAGAATTCGAATTGAGAACAATAAACTTCTTGGTGGTCAGAAATGTGCACAAATGTTCATGTAATACGAAAATTGGTTTATGGATTGAAGAAATAAATGATTTTATCTATAAATTTGAAGTAAGAGTATCCCAGTTTTTACTATTTTGTACGTTATTAACATTTTACACTCAATCCAAGTTCCACCTGAGCAATGGCCTGGCTCGAGATGTCACTCACTGGTTTCCTTAGTATGTGTCTGACGCATCTCCATTCCCTTCGACATATTTATTGACCAATATGTACTTGGTTGGTTCGTTCCTAGAGTTCGCTGTTGCTGATCCTTACCAGACACCTGAATTTAAGTATAAAGGGAAGGCAGCTGTCGATAAAAGTTTGCGTCAGGCTGTTGGACGTCTATTCTCTGGACCACATAAAAGTATTGACTTGACACTGATGTTGAAAATCTGAATCTTGCTCTTAATGCTGAGTGCAGCAAATTTCTAAATTGGTTTTAGAGTAGTTGCTTTGGAATCTTCATTCGGGCTGTTACCTGTAGTTGAGTCACTTCCTTCTAATTTTTCCGTTGATGGTGGGTGGTACTTGTTGTTGTTGTTGCTGTTGCTGACCAGGTGTCTTCATCATCCCGGCCTTCTCTTTATTTACTTGAATTCCTGTCTCCGCTGACTGTATCTCCTGAAAATCTGCCGGTTTTCGCCTCCAGATCTTTGAGTTTGTGTGACATTAGACGTATATCATCCTTGAAGTCCAGAACTCTTCTTATCGGTCTAATGTATTCCCATCTTCTGGCCGCCCACAGTCTGTTGCATGATCAAGTTCACCACAATCAGGAACATCACCAGTGATAATAGGCAGTCTTTTCTTACTTCAGTCTTCGCTCAAAATGCTTCTCTTAGTTTTCTGCTGTGAATCAGTGACATCACCATATAGCTGTTGAACAGGGTTGATAAAAATTTGTGGCACTACACTCCATGGTGTTAAAGTAGTTTCCAAATTACCTAGTGTAAACGCCGTCGAAGGATTTTTCAAAATCGATGAAGTTGAGGTAGAGATTTGCTTACCATTCTATACTCCGTTCGATGATGATGCGTAGAGTTCCAATTTGATTGCAACATGATTTTTTTCCTCAATTCAAATTGTTCTGGTAGAGGGTGAGTTTCGCATTCAAAGCACCTCTGTATCTCATCAAGAATGACACGACCTAATATTTTGCTTGGTGTGGATAGGACTGAAATTTAGTGCTAGTTCCCGCAAAGACTCAAGTCTCCCTTCTTTAGAAGTTTGACGTGGTAGCCTTCCTTGCATTTAGTAGGTACCTTTCCTTCCTTGCAAACTTTCTGAATCGGTGGTATCAGGGCATCCACTGGGGATCTCTGGACCCCTTTTTAGTGCTCTCGTGGGAATTCTGTCTGAACTTACCATCCTCCCGGTTTCTGGTAACTTCATGGTATACAAGACTTCTACTTTTTACGGAAGGTTATTGTTCACAGACTGTTTTTTGGCTGTTGGTGGCACTTCTGGGAGAGTTGTAGGTGGCCATCTGTTCGAGAGTCGTTTGAAGTAGTCCTCCTTACTTTTTCTTTGCTCCTCTTCTTTGGTTGTTTGGTTCCCTTCAATAACCTTCATTGCTTTCAGTGTGCTGATTTCTTCCCCGATAACTACCTGTTTATCTGATATAGTGATGTGAAGTCCCTCTTACCTGTAGCCTGTTCCGCTCCAGTTGCCAGTGTCTTGCTGAGTTAATTGTCTTTTATTTTTCTAACACTCTTTATTCAGTGAGATGTACGTTGAACTGAGCTTCTTCTTCTATTGTCCTTCTTTGCATTGGTTCATCTGTCCCACCATCCTCCATCTTCTATTAGCTTCCAAGTGTCCATTTAGAGCCTTTCCTTGTCTTTCCTCTTCTTCCTTACTAAGACAGCTGCACAGGTTTCCTCCAATACCGCTTTCAAGGAGTTCCAGTATTCTTGCATACTGGTCTCCTGAGTGATGCTACCAAATATTATAAGGTTTTCTGGTAATTACTACCGGTCTATTAAGCAGCAGTTTTTAAGTTTGTCAAGTTTAAGGAGGGGGTGGGTGGGAAGGTTACTCGATGTTCGAGAAAGATATTAGGCGTTCTGTATCACGAACCAAGAGAAGTAGTTAACCACTGGGTATTGGATTCCAACTTGCTGTAGAGAATGAACACTGATAAAGAGTTCTTAAGTAGGATGAAATGACGGCGAAGTGCTTTCTAGTTTTCCAAAGTTCTAGGCTGATTTGGATATGTCATAGAATCTAGAGTTACTTTAATCAATCTCTCATAAATCCAGTATCTGAGGATTAGAGTCTGTGCAGTTCTAGAGAGCGAGGATATGTAGGCGAACAAATAAACAGGATTACGACCTCATTTATTTATTTATTTCCAACTGGTAGTCCACAAATCCTAACACTATTGGAACTGGTTGCTGGGCTCCTTATCGATATGTCAGTTGATTCCCTACACTGATGAAGCTTTCATGATGCACTAGAAAGGGGGGGTCAAGTGATTTAATACATGTGCTCTTCATCTTTGCTTATGAGATTTAATATTGCGGGGGGGGGCGTATATCTTCCACCATTTATGGGAAGCGGCACATATACAGATGAAAACAGCCTTCAAACGTATTAACTGTCTATTCATGTGTTAGTTGTTTCCTTACACATATTATCCACCTCTCTGATTATGATTTATTTCATGTGTTTACAGTATTTAAACCTATTCATTCATTTGTTTTATTTAATTTTGACATCTACAGGACTTAAAAAGGTCTCTTGCTATTCTACAAAGTATTTTTGAATCGTCATGCAGGCTTGTATATCATGTGTACCATGATAATCATTTTTCATTTGAATACGCTCAAGATGAAAAACTGACGTATCTATTAGACAGATTGAAAAGCCTGACAGGATGGTTAAATCTGGCAGCTACGGGGAATGATGTAAGTTACTTGGCTTACTGTATATTATTATTGTATCGCTAATCTAAAATATCATTTCACTTAGTAATATACTTTTAGTTTACTATTTTGTCGATCTATTTAACACCTTAGACTTATTATTTTATTTCTTTACACTCTCAGTGGAACATAGGGCTTCAAGCTAGAAGCTTTAATTTTCAGTAGCAGTGGTGTTTGTTTTTACGGAATGGGGTTGCTAGCCTCATGCCCAACCCTTTCTCTTCACTGGCTTAGCAAGGTGAGGAAGTGCGTCGGCCGAGGATCGAACCCCGAACCTCTTGCATAGCTGGCGAGCATTCTACCGACTTCAGCAGTATGCACCCACCGCCATTCGAACCTATGACCTTCTGGTTATAAGGCGAGCTAGCTCGCAAACCATTAAGCCAATGGGACCCTTAGGCTTATAAGCAGTCATTCAAATTCTTGTGATCTTTGTCCAGTTTCTCTCGCCACTTGAGAACTCAGTGTATCTGAAACGCTTAGGATAATGCTTACTCTGTCCTTCTGGGATTATTTTTTCTAAAACAACATTACTCAACTCCTTGCGTTCCATTAACTATAAAACCTTTGACTGTGGCACAACTTAACCTCTTGTCTCATCTGGAAATTTATAAATCTGTATTAATTTGCGGGTGTTGCTTGGCAGGCACTCAGGTGATTTCAAATTTGATGACTGTTCGACCTCTGGTTGAGTTGTTAGCGCATACTGACGAAGAGTTCCAAACAAAGACGAAACAGTTAGATGCCCAAAACTGTCTGGTTCTTAGTGGTTCACCAAATGAAGTCAGTTCGTGATCTAACTTGGATCCTGTATTAGATTCTTTCTTCCTTATGAATCACTGAACTGATGAGAAGGACCTTTATTATGTCACGTAGGATTTTCAAGGCTGTAAGCAGAGTTAACACTGTGGCCGAATGTTTCTCTGTGTAAGCTTTAACTTCTTCAGCAGAATTATTTAGATTTTAATAAATTCTGAGATTTGTAGTGAAATGGTCAAAGTGGATACTTACGGTGTATAAACGCTACTGTGATAAGCTGAAATCTAGTAGCTGAAGCAATAAACTGCACTTCCATTAACGTTTATTCTCAAAAATCCTGGGCATTGTTGTTAAAATAGGTTTCTAATCGGAGGGGTATTTTGATAGGGTATTTGTGGCTTTGTTTTGTTAGTCCAGAAAATCAATAAGCCTACACAAGATAAAAATACTAACTCTTGACCCAATCACTGAACACACAGAACTTTATGTGTATTACATCACAAACTGACAAAAATTAAATATCATGAGCCACTGGATCCTATCTAAAGCATTTACATTAAAACTTTCTCCCCCACAAGGCATCACTGTCTTCGACTAAATCTCTGGTGACTTCTTTTAGATGTGCACTGTAAAAGAGCTTTAGATTAGAATGAAACAATTATTCACTGTTAATTTTTTCCGGTTTGTTCATGAGTTGACATCAGTTAGAGGGAGAACCATTGTAAAACCAACACCAGAGTACTGGATAGCTGTTTCGTCCTGGTTTGGGTCGCAGTGGTTGAATGGTCTACGAGTTCACCTTCTAACTGGAAAGTCCTGGGTTCGAACTTCTGTGAATGAGTACTGATGTAGAGTCCCAAACCGGAACTATACAGCTGTCCAGTACTCCAATGCTGGTTTTCCAAAGGTTCTCTAACTGATATCAATTCGTGTTCAAACCTGTAGCCAGTTAAATCAGCTTCTATTAGACTCATTGAGAAAGGATATTCACTGAAACCCATGAAGTGTCATATACGCCTAAAACAAATATGATTTTATACAGAATAAATTAAATCTTGTCAGCTCTAAAATTTTTGTTTTTTTAAAATTATTTATTTATTTGGCAGACCATTGTTTATCAGAAGTATTGACCTATAATATTTATTATCGGTAGAAGTATGGCTACAAAGTTCACTAGCATATATATATATATATATATATATATGCATATTGATGTGAATTTGTAGACTCATACGTACACACAGGCATTTAGGTTACATAACAGACTTAACTAGCAAAATAGCACGATGATGAATATCTGTCAATAGGTCTCTTTTGTGCCAAATAACTAAAATGACAGTAATTTGAATCCAGGGTGCTCATTTGATCTTATTTCACACTCATCACCTGGATGTCCCTGGATTCCCTGGCGAATGATGGTTTTCCAACTGAGGCTGGAACCTAGTACCCTTCGTTTCAAATGCCATGGAGTCATCCACTAGACCACTCAGGCCCTGAGAGTCACCTCTTATGCAACATGTGTCAGTTATTATTATTCATTTTCACTTCAGTTCTGATTTTCCCTTTGATTGAATAAACCGAAGTGTTCGGCCTCAGGCACGTACAGGTGGCAAGTCCGAAGTAAGACGAAATTTTGATTGAGAAAGAAAGACCAGATTTGCAGTATAAAATGATATCATTCTATTTCACAGGTTCTCATCAGCTGCAAACTACCTGAAATTACAATGGTTATAAATAATAACATTTCATACTTCATTGTTTGAAAGGTAATAGAGAAAACATTATAAGGTGAACGCATCTGGAATATAAGTATTATAATCTAAGTCAATCACCATCAATTTATATGTTATCAAACTATGAAAGAAGAAAAAAAAAGGGGGGTGAGAGAAGACAGAAAACAGAAAAATCCAATAAACAGTGTCAGCATAGCAACTCAAGACGAAATTATCGTGCTGGATACCACTGCTAGTCACCGTTTATCACATTATTTCAAAGAAAAGGATTATTTTAAGGTTGATTTCCTCAGGTGTCTACAGGTTAAGCATTTCAGACAGCTGTATTCATCTGACTAGACCTGTCCTGTGTGTAGTGAAATCACGGAGTAAAAGACTGTCAGACTTAGAATGAATTGAATTCAGCTATCAGAATTATGAAGTCGTCTGAGACAGAATAATAGGGGGTATTTTTTTTACTCATAGTTAAACCACACATGTATCCTAGATTCGAATGCTAGCCAATATCAGTCGAGTAACTTCAAAAACTAACTCATGAAAATTAACCTGGTTTTCATCGCCAGTGACTGGCTACAGGATGAAGTTGGCTGTAGTTCCACTGAGAAGTTGTCGTCGGTGGAGTCCATCCGATCGATAGTCAGGACAAATGCTCACCGATGACATTGACTAGTGCTGTTCACGTTAAATATGTCACGAATTGGTAGAAGTTAGAATTCATAGGCTGGCAATTGAATCGGGTCCCAGTGACTGGATGGCCTACGAGCTCACTTTGTGACTGGAAGATCTTGGGTTCGTACTTCCGATGAATCCCAAACGAAGCAAGTGGCTGTCCAGTACTCCACTGCTGGTTTTCCGAAGTTTCTCTAACTGATATCGATCCGTGTTCAAACTTGAAACAAATCAAATTCCTACAAACAAACTCTTGAAAATTTCAGATTACTCATTGTTTAAATCTTTGCTAACTATTTCTACACGATATTAATTCCACAGTGTTCAATCTCTCAAGGATAATCAAATGTCATAATCTGTGATTATTTGCTATTCTTTTTATTTCAGAATTCTAAGCCGACTGGAGTCAATGCACACGATGTTAAATATCGTTTTAAGTATTCGACTTTGATAGAAGCCTTAGATTTACATCGTGATTGTTACCAGTCCTCCTACTGTCCAATACCAATTAATGAAAAGTGTCTGTCGATACAGAATTTACAATGTGTTCATTACACTGATAGGTAAGTATAATACACGGTTGAATATGGTTTTATTTATTTTCTCATGAATATAGTCTACGTTACGTGCGTCGGTGGCACAGTGGTTAGGACTCTCGCCGACCATGCACATGGTCCGAGGTTCGATCCCCTTTCGACGCACACCTGCTATGGAATGGTCGGCCTGCAAAATTCGGGCTACCGATATCCACGCTGAAAATTCCATACATGTACCAAAAATACAGTGTGGAATGAAGCTGTAAATCAAAACAAAAAAATGAATACTGGCCTGATTAAATATTCTTGTTTTAACCAACTAGTCCCAAAATTAATTTTAAATTTCCTATCAGGAACTCTAAAGTAGCAGACCAGTGAAATATAATGCAAATCCGACTGTAGCAGTTTCGAATCCTACTCAGCCATTCCGGCCCTACCACCTACATCATCTTTGCTAACTGGCTAGCTAGTATGTATTGTCAAGCGTCGCACATTGTGGCCTGATAGGCAGGGATTCTTCTGGAAGTAATCTGGTTCTCAGTGGTTATAATTCTGTCGAAGGTACATATTCACTCAGACTGTTTTCTATTGCTAGTGTAATAAGGAATATTCTTTTCTTAGCGTTTTTTTCAATGCTATACAGTTATACAGTGCTGTGAAATGCCATGGCGATGCCTACATATTATTATGAAATTATTGTTCCCTTGGGTTCCAAGTGGAACATAAGGCTTCAGCAGCATATCTCCACCTTATCCCATTCTCTGTGATTGCCTTTTGCTGACCCTGTGATTGTTCATAATGTCTCACCCCCTCTTTAGACGATCTCCTCTATGTTAGCCTCGGAATAAAACCAAATTATTCGTTGACCACTCGGTGATTTGCCTATCGTGGAATGTCATTCAACGGTCTCCTCATCGTGTGTCTGATCCATCTGCACCTTCTTCTGCATATTTGTCGAGCTATGAGTTCTTGGTTGGTTCGTTTTCAGAATTTCTTGTTGCTAATTCTTTCCAGTCAGCCATTTGGTCTTCATTTTGGAGTTAGCAAAGGTTGATATTGACAGAAGTCTTCAGCGGCCTGTTGGAAATACTTTTGTGACACACTGACCGTGTTTCTGATCCATATAATAGAACTGACTGACTGACTGACTTAACATTGGTATTGAAAATCTAAACTTTTCGTTTATGCTGCGGAGGAGTACAGAAGATTTCTATAAAGATTTCAAAGCGATGAAGTCTGTCTTATGCTTCTCATCCTGGCTGGTTTTCACATTCTCATCTGTGCTGTCTCGTGTAGTTGAAACGATCCCGTCTGGTCAGATAAGCGAAGCATATGACCTGATTCAAATGCCTCCCATTGATAGTTACTGAAGCCCATTGTCACTAGCGTTGTTTGTTGCTTTTCTCCATCACATCCAGATATCCCTGCTTAGCTGAAGTCCTATCTTCGCAGCCTGTTCTTCCTCCAGCTAGTCGATTTCCGCCTGGTATTCAAGTTGATCCAAGACCCTGGAAAAGAGAAAGGGAGGGGCGCGAAGCAGGCGAACCTTCACCAGGAAATCGATCCAATCTCTACAGAAACTGTAAAGTCCTTATACCAGTCAGTCATTAATATCAGGTTACAATAAAAAAACCATCATTAGGAATGCATTAATTGCATTAATTAGTTATGTGTCTCACACTTACAACGGTCTCAATTATGCATGACTCATCTTTACAAGATCTGACTATTTATCATTTATTTGTCTATTAATGAAAATATATTTTAGATGTGATAGTAAAGTAATGGTGGCTGACTAATCCCTGGTAACAATTTTCACGCAGTTATGTGATGAATGTTCACTCTACTCTTGCTTTTGTTTTTTTGTTTTTGTTAAGTATGATTTTGACTGAAATTACACTTGTCTTTTTGATTAGGTGAAGATATGTTTGAGTGCATTATCGATTAATTGTTTGTTTGGTGATGACCTGTTGGTAGTTTATTATTTTCAGTCGGTAGAGTATGAAGAGTTAAACAGTTCCGTATTACGTAATATATTGGGCTGACCTGAAAATAGGATCAGTCTGTCTGATTGACATGGATGATTACGTAATGACTAAGTAACCTGAATTTATTGAACTGGTAGCTTATCGTAAATTCATGCATTTTTTTGTAGTGTGTAGCGAAATGTTAGGCATCGGTGGTTTTATTCGTGACTTGACCTTTGTCCTATAATGCACACATTTATTTTAGAAGTAATGGTAATATTGACTGACTGACTGACTCACCCCTGATTACAGCTCAAAAGGAAAAAAATGACTATGTGATGAGTATTCACTTTGTCTTTGTTTTTGACATGATTTTGCATGACATGAAGTGAAGATATGGCCGAGTATAATTCTGACTGAGCGAAGATATATTAGGAGTCTATTAGGATTAGTGTGTAGGACAAAAAGTTTTGATCCGAAATACTACTGATAATGTCATATGAGTAGTTAAAGGGCGATTGCTTCAGAAAACGATGCTTTCTGCCTACATCGAATTGATCTCAACACAGGGTGTTGGTTTCGCTCGCTTTGGTCCAGTTCATCCACTCAGAGAGCTGAATCACTTCAAAGTGTCCTTATTCTGGCTAGCCTACTCGAGCTAATTGAGAATACAAAGATTGTTGTTCGTCATTTGGAACTAGGACGTGTTGGTGTGCGGAGATTTGATTAGCTACATGATTAATCACGTGTTGACATCAGTTAGAGAACCATTGGGAAACCTTCAGGGAGTACTGGACGGCTGTTTCGTCGACACAGGTTGGTACTCACCGGCAGTAACTGCTTACGACGAGGATTCCAAACTAGGACATTCCGATTACTAAGGAAGCTCTTAGAGCATTCAGTCACTGAGTCGCGAACTAATGTTCTTAAATTCCGACTTCTACCAATTGTTGGTGTAGACTGAATTGTATCAGTCAGTCAAGTTCGCAGTGTAGCTAGTTACAGGCTAGATGGCTTGCCATAACGGTGCATTGTGAATTGTTGGTAATAGGTTGTTGGATTCGATCGGAGGAAGCCTTGGACCTGGGTATCGTGATAGCTGGCACTCACTAGTGAACAAGGCGTATCTGCAGTCACCTTGAAGGAACTTATGCAGGTTCTGAGATTCAGACTGCAGCACTGGGTGATGAGTGTTTGAGTGTCAGAAGGGACATAAACTGTTTCACTGGCGTTTGGATTTTAGCCTGGTTGATATATACACATTACCTCTAATCCGAGTTTCAACGCTTCCTGCACATTCCCTCCTACCATCTAATACATCTCATGCTAGACTGAATTGTATAGCTGGCTAGCGAAGGAAGGCCTACTTTCCTATGGAGTCATCAACTAGATAGATCGCTGTATATATATATATATATATATATATATATATATTAAAGGCGTACCAAAGCTTTAGAGCTTTTCCCAGTCATGGGTCAAATTAGAACGAATAATGCGTTGACAGATAGAGATTAAAAATGTAATAATAACAAAAAAGAACAGGAAGTTCGTATTAAAGAGCGTAGTAGGATAATGATTACAGGAAAAGTTGATTTTTATTATGGCCATAATAAAGGAAAAGATTGGACGTACTTGTTTTGCATACTCATAGAGGTGGCTTTAATCTATGGTTACTTAGTGTTTCAGCTATGCCTAGATGTTTTGATCTCAATCCCTTGAAGAGGTATGATCAGATCTTGTATAGGATTTTGAAAGATTTTTCAAGTAGAGCTAAGTTTCTTGCGTTCATCAGATGTTCCATTATCGAATTATAGACATATCTACCTTCTCCTTTCGCTAGCCAGGCTCGATTGTGTTAAACATCGGAAATTTGACATCCTTAGATAGAGTCGGTAGAAAGAATGAGTAAAGAATAAAATCTACTATAAGCAAATTTATAATTCCGCGGGAAACTTCTCCGCGTTTTCCTCTAATAACTGAGAATATTCAGATGACAATAAACGACCCATTCGACATATTCAAATAATGATCACGCAAATAAGCGAAATAGCATGATAGCATAACTTTCTGATTCATATTAGTAGTGACTTCGACATAAAATCTATCAGTCAGCAGTATTTTGCTAAGTACTACTTATAATTAGATATAAGTAGTATATCAGTAAGCGAATTCAGAAAAGTAACAGTATGTTTTGAGGCACTGGAAAAAACAGTCGAAGATGTGAACTGTGAAAAAAAGTTACAATACTCTGCAGAATCCAACAAGCTACCGAATGTGGTGATATTCGACCAGTTTGCAAATGATGTTCGAATAAAGATAAGGTATATCAACTTTATGCGCCTACAATGCGTTTGTCCTCATAAACGTAGCCTTTGAGCCTCATTAAACTTTTCTTCTTTATAGTATGTATGATAATTTGACAAGTTAGTCAGGTGTACAACAGTTTACACCAGTTTATAACTTTATTTTCTGACATTTTGGTGGACCCATTGCATTACTGTTCATCGTTGGGATACATGAAGAAATCCTATTGGATTGGAGTAAATTTCTGTAAAACTATATACTACTGAATGATTGAAGTGAGTAGTTTGATACCATCCATACCATAAGCCAGTAGTGCTTGTTGGTCATCTGGATGGAAGTAACCTAAACACCGGGCTGCCGTTTCACTAGTTTGCCGCCAAGCTCATCAGTACTGTATCGAGTTTGACTCAGCTGAAAGGAGAGCCGAATCAATTCAAACCACCCGATTTCTGGTGAACTGGTGACACACTAAATCAAATTCACTTTACCGAGCATCGGGTGGTCTCAGATGACTTGGCTCTCGTTTGAGCTGAATTAAATTGAGTGCTGATGACGAGCTCGGCTGTGAATGAGTGAGACAGTCTCCAAATGTTCAGATTTGTCTAACAAGCACTACTAGTTGATGGTGTGAGTGGTATCAAACTACTCATCTCAATCATTCAGTAGTATTCAGTTTTATGCAAATATGCTTGCTTTCCTGATTACCATTTATTAAGCAGATCATATATTGGTAGAAGCCCGACCGAAAGCTGCTACCTTGACGTGGTGGTCGGGCTTGAACACCGCAATGACCTAATCAAGCTATACTGGCTGAGACTTATGTCTCTTGAGGTTCTACCATGCCAGGCAGGTTGATTGGATAGCAGTTAAACAAAAAGCAGCTACCCAATCCAAAACTATGATACATACAAACTCACAAAATATTGTGCCGGATCGGCCGTGGCCCGGATTAACAACGACCGCGCTTCCTGCTGCCGTGTCACAGGGCAGAAGTAATAAATATGCTACTGAGACACACAAAACAATAAAGAACGAACAAAAACAGACCGCGTGTGACCGGCCTCAAGCAGTTGTCTCCTGGGCTCTGCGGTCACGCAACCAACTTCCACGGTGTGGGCAGCCGGGAAGTAACTATCGCCCTCAAAACCCGAAATGCACACGAAACCTCTCTAATATTGGTAGAAGGAGAACTTTTTCGTGTTTTCCACTGTTCTTTATACATATTATAGCAGTTAATCCTCTATTCATCTTGAAATTTAGTCGTATAATTTTAGAGTTACAAGTATGTAACTACAATCAGAGCAAGTAAGATCCACTTTCGAATTGATGTGAGGCGGCTGTAGAGTCTTAGATGACTGACTGTCATCAAATAACATAAATCCAAAATGCATCAAGATGGCTAGTCAGCTGGCCTGCTGATGACTTCCACTAAATGACTGACTGACTTATTTGTTTCAACAAAGAACTTTGCACCGATGTACAGCAATTCGAGTCGCCATACTTCACCCAGCACATAAAGTCAGAGATGAAAGTAAAAAGGAACACAAAACAGAGACAGCAAACAGAGCTATGAGGCAGAAAGAATAGTAATATCGAAGAAAAATATAGTTTTATTGGAAATTATAAGTCACAAGGAGTGGATACATCTACGCCAGCCATTGAGAACGACTTTCACTAAGTACCCGCATTAGGAAGTAGATACATAGCATTGGTTACACTGTAGTGATCAATCGAGGTTTATTTTTTATTTTTTCTGAAATAACAATTGCATTATGTTATTTAACTTTTGAAAACAGGATAAATCAAGATATACAAAGAACATGGAATTTACTATGTGACTGCTATTGGTTAGTATTAACATCCAAATTATCCGAAATGAATGCTTATTTATCAAATATCAACAGTGAATGGACTGAAAAGAATGTTGTAAGTGAATGATTTTTAAAAGTTTTTTTCTTTTTTTGAGAAATTTTATTTCCCAGGACATCTAATTATGATAACTAATTGCTTTTGAACAGACACCTGATCTGTTTGTGTATTAAATAGAACAAAGTTAGGAGATGAAAATCAAAAAGTTGACAGAAGAAACTGGCGAAGTGGATACGATTTCAAGTATACATAGAAAGGGTGGAGATGATGAAGATACCTAACTAACTAACTAACGAACTGTAACAGCAACAGCTAACGGAATAAACTTGGACAAAGCCACACTCTTTATTTCAACTTTGAGAGACGCAGATGAGGATGTCAAAACTAGTCTGAATCAGAAAGGAAAGGTAAACTTTCATTTATCAATCTGTAGTCAATTTGGAAATCTGCTGCACTCCACAGTATGAAGAACAAGATTTCCAACACCACTGTTTAGCCAGTTTTTCTATATGAGTCACTGGCTCCACATTGAATATCAGATGGCCGACAAGAAAGGAGTGGTAGCAAGAAACTCTGAGAACGAACTAGCCGAGAATATATTGCTCAAGAAATATTCCGAAGAAAATGGAGATGAATCTGACACACACACACACACACTGTGGAGACTTTCGGGTGACATTGCGCACCAGGCCACCAACCGAGTGCCTCCCGAATGGGAGACGGCGAGTTAGGAGTGTGTTAAAGGGTGACATGAAGGAGGGAGCTTGCGTGAGGAGGAGATGAGAGCATATGGACAGTCGTGGGGCTAGCCGAAGTGAACCGCGAAATCAGGACAAAGTGGAGAGGTGCTAGTGACTTCCTATGTTCCACTCAGAAAGCAAGGGTATAATAGTAATAATAATAATAGAAGGACATCTCAAGCAAAAGTATAAAATAGATTAGCAGTCTGCGATGCTACGACAACGGATAGTTGTGAATGTATTGGTGAGGAAGTATATTCCTCTAATTATGATACTCTTACAGGCGTGTAGGATTTGGTAGAGCTTACTAAGTGACGAGAGGCAATTCTATTTACTGGGGATCCCAAATATCATTTCAATTTAGCTGATATTAGTGTATGAAGTAAACTAAATAAAGCTGAGGTCATAAAATATTTCACTTTGGCATGCCGTATTAACTTACGCTTCACATTCGTCTGAAACATAATAGCTACAGCTTTATTCTCGACTAACTGTTTATACAATATACAGAATTCTCAGCGTAAATGTTTGCATGATATTTTCTCCTAATCCAAAATAGAAATCTATAGTATATCATGTGATACAATGTGGTTCCATTTGAAGCTTAAGCTAATCTCTCATAGTGTGTTTGCTTCATCGCCAAGAAATGCGCACCATTCCTTTAAAAGACAATCCAAAATGTTCTTGAATACTTTTTGTAACTCACAGATATGACTGAATGGCTAGAACACTAAGAATGAAAGAAAATATGATGCACATGGGTTGGATGAAGATTCAAATAGTCCAGCAGATTATACAGACGTCGATTTAACCTGTTCATTGTGCTTTGTGTCACACTAACAGTGACTTCTCGAGCAAGTTTAAGCCATGACACTACTAACTTACTGCAAAACATTATATATATATATTATATAATGTATATAATATATATAACCTCTGCCTCGGTAGGGGCAGAGGTTGGACGTATTTCTTTTGGACACAAAGCGTGGGCTTGAGTTTTCGGATCTCCAGTGTCTCAGCTATTCCAAGATGCCTTGATTTCACTCCCTTTGATAGGTTTGATCGTATCTTGTATATAACTCTTGAGTACTTTTCAAATGGCGATGAATGTTGTATTGTTAGATGCCTTCGTCGTAAAGAAATTTTTAATATACACATGTATACATTAAGGCATAATGAAAAAAGAGGGGTTGAAAATATACGTAAAGGGTGGTGGTGGTGGTAGTGACGTCATCAGTTCGTTAGGTCTTAATTGGCCAAAGGAAAGGATAATAGCTGTACGACAGACTTTTGAATGCATTGTTTAGGCTTAATAGTCTTAGGGAATGCCTATCACCTCAGCTATTTGCAGTGGACGAATACGAAGTCTGTTGGAAAGATAAGATTCAGTAGGATGCACAAATCTCACCTTGAATACTTTTCGTTTTCTCCACTGTCAATGAACTAGATGTAACAAAATGGATCTGCGGATGGTATTTGTGTGTCCTTTGCCAAACCACGATTGAAGATGTTTAGTAAGATGTTACTTGGCTAAGCTGTCTAGTATGTAGTATGCCCAACATAACTGTCCCCGTAGGAGTAGTATGACTGATAAATGCACATAAATGTATGGAAAACCTATCTAGCTATCTATCCTTCGTTTGCCTCGTGATCATTTTTCGAATGGAGAATGACATATTTTATCCATACTACACATTTTTTTTACTGAAACAAACTCTAATTTTTCGGCACAACAACGTTAAATAACACAGATTATGTGGGTGGTGAAATGATGACTAAAATGATAAACATTGAGTTAAAACCACTGAAATAGTAGTAATAGTAGTAGTGACCTTTATACATATATAGAATACACAACAATATCAAGTTTTCTGATAATTGCTATGACGTGGTGGTTACTATAATAATATGACGTAGACGTATAGGTTATCATTTTTGTTGTTGTGTAACAAAATTGTATTAAATAAATCGGTGTACTTTTAGCTGTCTAATTTTAGTCAGAAGTAGAGTAATGCGACTGTTAAACTTCATTCTATTGTTCTGTTCAACTACACCAATATGATAGAACTAATATCCTTTTGGGAACTTGTGGGAATCAGAGGGACCTGGAGAACTGTTTCATTCTTTTAAGTAACATTCATTCATGATTAGCACTTTTACTTTGTCAACTGAAGGTCCTGAATGGTGCTGCTGAAAAGTCTCGAACTGGAATGAAACAGTTTTACAGTACTCTTTAGTTTATACTGGTTCTCAAACTAACAGATAAAGGAAGTTCGTCTTTCTACAACAGTGTTACTAGTTCCTCATGTAACTCAAAAACCATGGGGTTACACTGGTTCTTGGTCTAGACTGTAGACTCCTAACTAATGGATCACAGGTTGTAAGCCCACTCCACCTACTGAGGTTCATATAATCAAGCCTTCCCAAACGGGCAATGTTAGCTTACATACGATCAGGTTGGAAAACAGCTAGTGGTAGTCAGACCAAAACATGGCTTCATCAGTCAATTAAATCCATAACAGTTAGTTTGAGCCAATGACGTGCTGAAGTGTCGACTTTTGGGTTGGGATACTTGAGACTTTAATAACCAATGGCTAGAGACAATTGGTGATATACCTAAAAGTCGTTCTGCATGGGGATGAGGGGATGGATTCATTCTCTATGATTTGTCATATCTACCCAATAAAACACTGTTGTTCTTCCATAATTTATTCAGAACAAAAATGGTTCCAGCGAACAATTCTGGTTTCAAGAAATTCTTCTTTAGGTTCTACAACCATAAACCCATTAATTTAAGCAGACAATAGCTGTCCACTACTCCCTGGTTTTCTGTGGTTCTCTAACTGATATCAGTAAGTGGTCAAACTCGTAAAAACAAATCTAATTCCTTACAAACCAACTCTTGAAAATAGTCAGTTAGTTTTTGAATATGTATGGTCAATGAGTACATGAGATAAGATGAGATGAAATAATTTAATGATGTGTAAAGTAAAAAATCCCCATAGTGTAATCAGAACAAGATAATTTTGAGCAAACAATTGTTTTCGATAAATTCTATTTCTGGCTCTACACAGTTATAAATCCATGACTAGTATATTTGTGTGAAAATATATATCGGAAAGTGTATTGGGGTACATGTATATTATGGAATGTGATAGCTATTTATTCAATATTTTCAAATGAACGTATATAAAAAGTGTGCAGTCATTTAGAACATAAGGTGAAGTGTGAATAGACAAATGAGTGATATGCCAATGTCTTTATAGTCAACAGAATATAAGATTCATTGTGATGGGGGTAGGATGGGGATGAATTATATTCAATGGCAAGCGAGGAAAATGATTAGCATAAAACAAATGCAAACAAATACCAAAAAATGGGGAGGGAACATTGAATGTAAGTTCAAGGTTTGACAGATATCAGGTGTAGTGATAAAATAGAGATTAAATCGCGAACTGTAGTAAAATACTACATATTATACATGTACCGCAATACAGTTTCCGACATAATTTTCACATGCCTTCAATGGCTATTTGTATTCTAATATCTATGGATTTATAACTGCAGAGCTTGTAGAAGAATTTACAGAAAAAACAAATGTTCGCTCTGAATTGTCTTGTTCTGATTATTTATATATACATATATGTTTTAACAAGTTTGACCACGGATTGATATCAGTTAGAGAACCATTGAAAACTACGAGTACTGGACAGCCGTCTCGTCCTAGTCTGAGAATCACTGGCAGTACGCACACACTGGCACTCGGGCTCAGGAGCTTCAGGTTACAAAGCAACCTCGTACACCATTCAGCCACTGGGTCCCGATTCAGTGGCCAGCCCATGAATTCTAACTTCTACCAATTCGTGATTTAGCGTGACCACCAACCAATGTTATCGGTGGGAACTCCATCCTTACACTTGACTGAATGGACCTCACTGGTTACGACTTCTCACCCTATTGGGTGCGTACTACCGATGATTCCCAAACTAGGATGAAATAGCTGTCTAGTACACCTTGATTTTCAATGGTTCTCTAACTGATATCAATCCGTGGGTAAACTCGTCAAAACAAATCTAATCTTTGCAAACCAACTATTGAAAATATACGTGTATATGTCGTCAACAGAAGTACATTTACAAAAGTTAATCTACTTAACATATGTATGAGTGTAATCAGCGATGTGTGAGACAAAATGAAAACTACAAAAAATAAACCAGACGTAAGTTCAAGGCTGAAAATAAAGACAATAATAATGATTATGAAATAATAACGATGATGTGGTATAAACTTAAAAGTACTATTGATGAATGATTATCAATTTTAGTGAAGTGAAATGAACCTTACTGTATTAATATGATAACAAGTCAGAAAGGCGTTATGTAAACCTAAGGTAATAGCAGAAATCATAAGAAAGGTCATGAAGTCGTAAAAGGTCAGAAATGAACGTTTGTCAATGAAACCAAGGAGAAGAAGAAAAGAAAATGCTGAGACAAGAATTTATATTACAAATGTTTATGGGGGATTTATTGGCCTTCTTGTAGGCCAATTGTATTTGCAAACATAGTGGTTGAACATACTTCTGTATGAAGAGCACCGGTTTTCTGGTATTGATTGCTACCACTACAGCTACTGACAGAAGACACAGTCTGTCTGGATTCAACATAGAACGTGGCACCGAAGTGCACCAGTTCGAGTTGCCACGTTCCAAATAGCACACAGAAGTAGACAAGAAGATGAGTGAAGAGAATCAATACAGTCTGACAAGTATAAGAGTGAAACAGAATGGGTAATGGTAGAAAGGAATATGAAAGATTACAGAGACTGAATACATCTGCGCTGGCCATTGACAACGATTTTGAGCCATGTCACCTATAGTCTCCAGCCATTGATTCCTAGAGTCCCGAGGGCCCCAACCAGGAAGTCTGCATCTCCCTCCCTACCTTACTCAGTTTAACTGTCAAGGACTTCATGGATTGATGAGGCCATGTTTTTGTTTGGCCACCATTTACCCTTTTCCAACCTGCACCTATATCAGCTAGGAAGACACAGTTGAGCTCCTCTGGATGCATTACTTGGAAGGCGGTAAATAAGTGAGAGCGCCTGGTCAGGTTTTATCGAGTGTTCAGTATCTACCAAGTTGGCTAAGACTGCATGATTTGCGCATTTTTCCTTCACTCACACTTCTGTTTATGATGTCTCTTTTGAATTTCGCTTTACTCTCTTTTCATGCTTTGTGTCCTACAAGGAAGGAGTGTGACAAGCTGAACTGGTCTAATGTTCTGTGCTGAAACCAGTCACTTAGTCAGTCCTCACACAATAAGTATACTTCATCATCAGCTGTAAAAACAGTACAAAAGGATTGTTGATTAAAATTTCACTTTTCGTCAGCCATATTCACTTTCATGTACCGGATAGATGTCGTGTATTTAATGTGCGTAGTCTAGTGATACTTTCTGGTTGATCAAGTTTTAGTGGATTAGATGATATTTCAACCTTCCACTGACTAGTTGCAAATTCGATCTTTGGATCGATGTACCAGAACGCCATAGTTAATTACAGATGCTAGGCGTGTTATTACTTTTTTCCTCTTGGGTTTCTAGCACAGCAAAGGGCTTCAGCAGCAAATCTCCATTACATCCTGTTCTCTCCAGTTGGCTTTAGATGGTTTCACTACTGCTCGTAAGCTCTCAACTCCTCACATGATCTCCTCCATGTCACCCTCAGACACATTTCCAACTCTCCGTTTCCCATTGGGGTTCCACTCGAGTGATGGTCTGGAGTGCAGTGTCATTCAGAGTCTCCTTGGTAGTGTGTCCGATCCGTCTCCATTTTCTTCGGAATATTTTTTGAGCAATAGGTTCTTGATTAGTTCCCTGTCAGAGTTTCGTTATGCTAATTCTTTGTGGCTAGCTATGTGATCTTAGTTATTGGAAGAAGACAGATTTTGACAATACTTTTCGTGAATCTTTTCAAACGTCTGTGTAATGTGTAACAATTCAGTCCGCCTCATTTTACATTGCTCGAAACCATGATATCATCAAAATCGAGTGGTAGTGAGATAATGTTCCGAATTGCAGACATGATGAGGCACATTGCATTGACGAGCTCATATACCGAAATTAAGGTGATCATTAGTTCAGCGTAAGTATATCAACTGTAAATCACAAGCATGGATAAATAATTCCAAATCATATCCACTGCATAAGGTATGAGTCTAATAAACCAGAAGCCTAATGGATAACTCTGGCGTTTTTAAGTGACAGGTACTGAGGTCCATACAGTCGGGAGTGAGGATGGATTTCCCGCCGATGACAGTGGTTGGTGGTCGCGCTAAAATCACGAATTGGTAGAAGTTAGAATTCATGGGCTGGTCACTGAATCGGGTTCTAGTGGCTGAATGGTATATGAGGTTGCTTTGTAACCTGAATGTCCTGAGTCCGAGCGCTAGTGTGTGCGTACTGCCAGTGATTCTCAGACTAGGATGAGACGGCTGTCAGGTGCTCCCTTGTTTTAAATGTATCTCTAACTGAAATCAGTCCGTGGTCAAACTCGAAAAACAAATCCTGGCAAATCAACTCTTGGAAATTCATAATATTAGTATTAATGACAGAATCTTATAAGATAATTAGGATAGTGATTGTCACCATAAAATTACAAATATAGGAGAATAATTGAGTCAGTGTTGAATGCCAGTGACACATTAAGTCGTAATTTTCACGTTTAACACTATCGTTATCACATAGGACGTAGGTGGGCTGGCCAAATATGGCATGGTTGAGTTTCTTTATTTGGTTGTGCGAACGAGCAAACAATCTTTTCTAATGACTTCTAGTCCTACCTGATGAGATACAAGGTGGAAGTTGGGTGCTGAGAGTCGGAAAATATAGATTTGGACCATTTCTCACAAAAGTTTAGGTGTCTGTTGACTATGATAGTTACAAGCTGACTCACTTGTGGTACACCACTTGCCCTACCGGCAACCTTTAATGCCCTTTTTTGCAATATGATACTGTCCTTTTTCAGTAGCCCAGGAAAGACTGAAGGGGAGCAGTAATAAAGAACAACAGGGAATATGCAAGAGTTAAAAAAGTATAAAAAGCAATGGTTGAATAATTCCAGATTGTCTTAACTTCTTAATGTAGATGGTGGTTAGACGGAGCATTTTCTTGATAATCGACAAAGTATAGAATGACCAAACAAGATAGGTGTGAGGATAGAAGTATTCCAAGGTATTTTATGCTTGATCTACCTTCTATATCAGTGCTGACAAAGCTACAGGAGTCATATAAACTAATGAGTTCATTAAGATCACGTTTATTCCTGAACTCGAAATTGACTAGCTGACATTTATTGGAGGGATTTAACGTAAGAGCACTAAGCTTAGACCACTAGCTAATGTTGGACACAAAGCTATTCAGTCAGTTTGGAACAGCTAGCTCAGGAAGGGATTGGCAACGAGGCAGCATGCCAGGCCGTCAGCAAAGTAGATTTCTTCTGAATGAGGCAAGTCAGTCATGTAAAAAGAAAGAAAAAAGAGGAGGAGTAGGAGGAGGAGGAGATAGAACAGCACTTTGAGAGACATAGGCTTCAGTAAGTAAGGAAGAGGAAGATTTAACTTTCTATACAGTATCTTCAGTATGAAGCTAGCGAAAGTCAGCTAGCGATGACAGTGTACAACCTGTTGGAAATTCTTTTAGTGACACATGTTCCAAATCTCTCAGCCATATAAAAGCACTGGATGATTTAACACTAGCATTGGAAAAATCCGAACCTTGGTCTTCATGCTTATTGAATACATTATCCACATGTATAATGAATTATACTGATGAAATGAAATTATGCAAAAAATGACTGTATTTTGCTGATTACCTTCTGTCATCTGTTTATCTCTTGTGTATAACGATTCATTGTCTTTCACTGATATTTAATTCAATAAGATTACACCTTCTACTTGTCTTTGTTTTTATTTCTTAGACATCAGATATTCAATCTCCGCATTGTTATGCTGTAACAAGGCGATGCAATCGAATAATTTACAATCTATTACAACAGTTATTATCCTATCCAACTGCATTGAGCGTTTTCAATTCAAACAAGGAGTGTCTCAGTGAAATGTACAATAATCTAAGCATTATGATAAAATATGCAAATGACAAGAGTATTATCGGTAAGTAGAATATTTATAAGAGTTTCAGTCAATCAAAAATTTAAATACTGTTTGTTCAGAAGACAAACAACCTGATGTTTTAGAACTGCGGATGGATGTAATCAGTAGAAAGCTCTGTACCTAAATTTCATGCTTGCTGGTAAAGTACATCTAAAAATTTCAAAAGAATTGATGTTATCTCGGAGATTTAAACCTGCATAAATCCATACTGTTGTTGAAGACGTTACGACCAAGCTAGTAGGTTTCAAGGGTGATCTTCTATAGGACTGTAATAGATGCACTGTATACTCCAGTATTAGATTTGAACCATCTAACACCGATTCAAAGTGCACCATGATGATGGGTTACCTAGTTTGGTGATCATTTTGCATCACTGACTGATAGAATCCAATCACAACTGATACAAAGGACCAGAATCATGCCATCGGTTGCTTCCTACTGATCACTCAGTGTTCTCAAAATTACCATTCCAGATGGGATTCATAAATGAAATTTTGGAAACATTTATTTCCCGATACGAATTTAAAACAGGCAACAAAGGTTAATAAATTGTCGAAACCTTCAGAGTATTTACTTCCAGAATATTTCCTCTTTATACACGGTTTTCATATAAAGTAATAATCTAAAGGGTATCGGACGACGAAGCGTTCCTGCATCTGAAGGAAAAACCTATTTACTAAGTATTTTCTTCATTATTTCGTCAAATAATTGCATAATATTTAGTTGGAGGTTAATTAAATAAGCGGGTGACTTCATTTAGTTTTTTTTGTTCTTTCACATTCCCAGTGGAACATGGGGCTTCAAGCTACAGACTTCAAGTTTACGTAGCAGTGGTGATTATTTTTACAGAATGGGGTTGCTAGCCTCATGCCCAACCTTTTCTCTTTATCAGTCTTGTTACTGGCTCAGTGAGGTTAAGAAGTGCGTCTGTGGCCGGGGATCGAACTTCGGGCCATACGCATGGTCGGAGAGCATCACAACCGCTGTGCCAGCGACGCACTCCTTCATGTTGTGGTCATCTGGTATAATTGCACGAATGAAACAATAGGAGATACAGAAGAAATACAGTTTCACGGTTGGAAATTCTGGTAGCTCAGTGAGTAAAGCAGGCCGCTTTGAGTCTGCTTTTAACTCACAATCCAATTATCGCCACGCTATCCAGTTAAGCCTTGATCAGAGTTCATATAAATTTATTAAATATTTACTTCAAATGTTATTCAGGCGGCTTCTGTCTTTTTTCTTTTTGCCACTAAAGACAAATTTTTATCAACTACTGGAAAAGTGGAAGAGTATTCCAAATCACTTTATTCAGTCTTCACTCGAATGGATTCCTTGTTTCGAATAAGTCTTACCAAATTTCCTTTAAATAATTACTAATCAAGATTCTCTGATAAATTTTATCACTTATCTGCTTCCTCATTTATATCTGTCAAATCCCTTCAAACAAACACTTGACAACTAATCTGATTCTCACTAAGGACTGGCTCTACACAGGAAGTTCTCGTGAGAAGTCGTAACTAGCGGGCTCCATTAAGTCAGGTAAATGAACAGTTACTTGCTTGTGATATTGGCCGGCGGTTGCGCTATATATATATATATATATATATATATTGTGCACTGGAAAGTGGGATTCAAGAGTCATCTGATTGAGTCCCAGTGGTTGAATAGTCTACGAGCTTGCCTTGTAACCTGAAGGTTCTGGGTTCGAATCCTGGTGGATGAGTACTATTGCATAGTCTCAGTACTCCCTACAGGTTTTCTAATGTTTGTGTGACTGATGTCAGCTTGTGATCACGCCTGTAAACAATGAAACCCATGCAAACCAGAACTGGATATTACATCGGTGTAAACTATGTGATTTAGTGAATTTTCCGTTGCCTGGTTTTAGTAGATGCGAAATGCTTGCTTCCTGATGGAGTTTCGTCTCTTAGTATTGAGATTATGATAATATCACCCATTGGGAATGCAGAAATATTTCTGAAGAGTTCTGAGTCATTTGAAACACGCATTTCGGATTCCACCGCCAACCGCCACCTGCTAAATAATGGAATATCTCTGCCTTGTCGGCTGATCTTTCTCTCTGTTATTATGTCTTAGGCTCGCATATTGATTTGTTTAAGTATTGCTCAATTTTATACATTATGAAGCTAGGTTAGATGGTAGGAAAGAAGACCTACCTGACCTGGGTCTCGTGTTTGTTGGGGGTTCACCAGTCAGCAAGGAGTATCTACAATCATGTCCCTTCTGAGATTTGAACCTGGATCACCCTGTGCCACAGTTAGAGACGTTCCCACTGAACCATTTGGGTTCGCGACTGATCTCCTGTAGGGCTCTATTAGATAATTTGGTGGAACACCAGATAGTAAATAACGTCTTGCACGTGACATTTTAAAATTTTTGGATTAGTCAATAAATTTGAGTTTTATGCACTGAAATATGCGCCATACAGTAATCATTATCTTCATCTAAAATGATTATATCGTCTGTACACTCCCAACTGTCGACACCTCTTCCTTGTAAAGTGTAAACCTGCAAATGGATGATTAGGAGATCCAGATATTGGGACACTACTCGGACACAGAGGTAGCCATCTTTATGCGTTTTCTGTCGCCCATGAAGTCTCAGTATTACCGAAAAATGTTCTGTTGAAGTCTATAAGTTTAACAGCCTGCACATCGGTGTTTCAACAGTGCCATGTTCGCCTACCATATAAGTTGTCCGGATTAGATTCTGATAGACTCTCTGAACATTGTCTAGTTTATTGTCTCTATGTATTAAGCTCAGAAAAGAGAAAGGGTTGAGCGGGAAGCTATCAGCCAATGAAAACAGCACCGTCTCAATTGAAGCTTCAGAGTTTGAAGCGCAGTGACTCAGTCAGAACCCAGGGAAATGAAACATTATAGAAGACTTGATTTTCAGCTGACAGACCACCGATCAACAGTTCAAACATCACTTTGTTGCTGTAATTTTTAAGCGTAATAAGTCGATAAAGACTAAGAGAAACAGATGAACTGATTGAGTAGGGCTAAATTGTAAAGGAAGTAAATAAACTGTATTTTAATGAGAATGTGATAGGATTAAAGGATTATGATAACAGAGGGTTTGAGAATATACGTAAAGGGTGGTGGTGTTTACGTCATCATTTAGTTAGGTCTCAGTTGTCCAGGAGACTTCTTTTGAATGCATTATATTATTGTTATTGTTCATTTGGTTTCCGAGTGGAACATTGGCCTTCAACAGCACATCTTCACGTTGCCCTCCTCAGCTAGCCACATGATAACCAATGACCTCTTACCTTCTTTTTCACACAGTCTCCTCTATGTCACCTCGCACTCACGCTCAACTCATTGTTTCCCATTCGGCCTGCACTCTAGGAATGGTCTAGCAGGTGATGTCATTTAACTGACTTCTCAGTGTGTGCCCAATCCATCTTCATTTTCTTCAGCCATATTTATTGAGCGGTAGGTTTTTGTAAGTTAATTCCCAGCGTTTCTTGTTGATAATTCTTTCCGATCGGTCATGTGATCTTCAGTATGGAGCTAGCAAAAGGGGCAGCTGTTGATAAAAGTCTGCAACCTGTTAGGAATGCCGTTCGTGATGCACCGTTGAAGTTTCCTACCGGTATAGAAGAATTGACTGACTTAAAATTGGTGTTGAAATTACGGATTATGTCCTTTATGGTGAGTGCAGAATATCTCCAAACTGGTTTCACTGTGATGAAGGTCTGTCTTGTCTTTCCGATTCTTGCTTCGATATCCTCATCCGTGCTGTTATCTGTAGATGGAAGGATGCCTCCTGGCCAGATAAGTCAAGGAAGTGATCACTTTTTGTAAATTTCTTCCATTGACAGTGATTGGTGATTCTTTCTGTTGTTCTTGTTTTGTTAGTTGCTTGGTTGACTGTGCTCATTACCCTTGTCTTCTACATGTTCTAAGAGATTCGATGAATCTCACATTGAATGCCTTGGTTTTCATTTGCCATTAAATGACCATTATCATTTAAGTGTGACAAATAAAACGGATTGAATTGTTTCCCCTTTTTTTAAACTTAACTGTAACTGGGCTGAAGGCATTCCAGAAAGGGTGTAACAGGATAAATATTTACTATTATGACTACTATTCTTTCTTTTTCCTCTGTCCATATAAGAGAGAAGTGTATAATAAATTCTCAAATACAATTATTGTATGATGTATTATAACGATAAATAATTCATGGACTTATTTCCCTGTTGACTAAGATGCCCCTTCACTTATATATTTGCTCCTTTGACTTTTCTTGTCCCCAATTTAACGTTATTGTAACTACTGTTTTTTCATTAACTGGGTGGACTGTGTAAATGCATGCATACTGGGTGATTGTAAATTCTTCATATTTACACTATTCAGATTAATTAAGCTTTGCATTTCCATCAGTATTATACCTAAAATATTAACAGTCAAGCAGTCAGATGGCTTGGTTGCCGGTGGCTAGCAATGGAATCCAAGACGTGAATTTCTGGACCTTGTCAGGCGAATGTACAAACATTCCAAGTGAATTGTAGTTTTCCTGCTGATATCCGTTGCATAAGACATATTCAAGTATTGGTTTGTAGAGATTTGGTTGATTGGTTACAGGATTTCATCATGAGCTGACATCAATTAGAGAACCATTAGAAAACCTGGGAGTACTGAACAGCTGTTTCGTCCTAGTTTGTGACTCTTCACCAGTACGCACCCACCGGGATTCGAACCCAGGTACTTCTGGTTACAAGGCGAGCTGGCTCGTATACCATTTAGCCACTGGGATCCGATCCAATGGCCCATGTATTCCAACTTCTGCCAATTCACGATATGGCGCAACCGCTAGCCAATGTCTTCGGCGAGTATTTGTCGTCACACCCAACCTGCTGCAGCCTACTGGTCACGACTTCTCACTGGAACCCCAGGTACTCCCAGGTTTTCCAATGGTTCTCTAACTGATTTCAGCTCATGATGAAATCCTGTAGCATAAGACATATTTTGGATGTCTCCGTAGCTTAGTGGATTACAAACGATGGGCAGTGGATTCGTGTCACGACGGGGATTGACGCATTTATTGGGAGAAAGTAATATACATCTGAGAAGTCCCAAACAGAAGAAAGTGCAAATCATAGATTCTACTGGCAGTTATCACCAAAACAAACAACGCTAATGTTAACTCACCAAAATTACCTATTCAGACATGAAAACGGGAACAAATACTTCAGAGAATAGTCTGTTTTCGGCGAATTCATTCACTTAGCTGTGCAGTCACAATTATATATATAATTATTTTTATGCATGTGCACACTAGGCTTGTCAAACAAGAATAGAAAAAAAAATTAGTTTGGGTAATTGTTTGTGTTATCAAAATATTTCAAAAAAAATTTGATGAATAGTCTGAACTGTAACTAGGAGAGGTGGGGGTGAATATTAGTCAGCTTTCCACTAGTTTTGCATAATATTAAAAGGTTCAGAAAAAATTGGATGTTAACAGAACAGTTTACAGACAAGTATCAAGATAAATTATGTAGTAGGTGAAAAGAGTAAACAGAAGGTTAGTTAAGAAAATGATTATAATAAATGTCATAAGAAAAGTGCCGAGAACGGTATTAATAACAAAGTAGTTGAACGTGAAATTATACTCAAGGTAGAAGGAGGGCAGTGGAGAAGTTTCTTTTGTGTACTTTAATCAGGGTTTTTCATCCGAATCGTTAAGGCCTTGGCAATGCGAAGTATGTGAAGGCTTATTGTTTTCAGGAGGCTCCTTTTAAGTTTGTAGATAACTTTGAATGAATTCTCCGTATATATTGAGTGACCAGTGTTGAATATAAGTTCGATTATGGCACTCATTATTGATCCACTGTTATCTATCTGTAGCCAAGCGGAATAATGTTCTTTGACTCTTTTGATAAGGTTCACATCGAATAATCTAGATACATGTAGAAGTGGTGAGAGGTAATGATTTATCTTTGAAGTTGTGGAAGAACATTGGTAATGCAGCGACAGAAGGTGTTCTTTTTGATGCGTTTGATATACTCTTCTCTAGGATATCGGCTAGAAGGTCGTCTGTGAACTTACATTCATGTGTAGCACTTTCTTCGGCATTGAGATGTGGTTTTTTTGTTGGTTTTGAGTTTTATGCGTTTGCCTATGAGGCGTGGTGGGCGG